TATATTAATTACTATATATGAGTTTCAAAGGGAAAATTAACGACTTTTACCAAAAAAATGGTATAAGAAAAATTTAGTCTCGTAAATTTTTAGCATATCTGTAGATTATAACTCATGATGTTAAACACATATGTGGATAGAGATATTTTAGAATAATTAAATATATACGTAGTGTGATATTGGATTAGTAAAGATTTGAAAAAAAGAGAGAGAGAAAGAGAAATCGATTCATAGAGGGAGCTGAACATTTGTTCTTTTTGTCACCAGATGGCGTCTTTTTAAAACGACGTTTTTAACGCATACCACTTTTGTGAAGAAAAGAAAACTTTTACTATACCCTAGTCTTTTGATCCTTAACAAACTAGCATGGCTGAATTAAAAGACACACGTCCTACTGGAAAACCAGTAATGAATAGATCCCAACGCAGGATGTTTGAATACAACACCCGTAAGGCAGGAGCAGCATCTGGAGATTGGAACAACATGGTAACCGTTGAGCAGTATCCACAGAACATGCCACCACCTAAGCCTGGAAAGCCAAGTGCTAGGTCAAAAGCTTGGAAATCCAAGCAGACTGCTAAACCTCCACCGCTACAAGACCCGGCTGAAGTAAGGGGTCCCGTTTTGGCGAAGGCAAAGACTGAGAACTTAATTGATGAACCTTTATGGACCTTCGGAGTTTACAGTGGAACACAACCTGAGCGACAGACAAATCAGCAAAATCTCAACAAGATCAAATAAATTTGTTCATCAAAATTTATTAACTGTCTTCAATTTTCCCTTTGAAACTCATATATATTAATATACTGTTGGGACAAGAATATTGATTATTATATTAATTACTATAATTTAAAAAATGTATCAAACCCCTCCACCTATTTATTACAATTCATTTGTTAATGAATATAAAAACACTATCTATATCCAAAAATATTTTTTATGGATGAGCTAACGTATGAAAAAAATTCACAAATATTTTTAAATGCTGAAGAAAAAGAATGAGTAGAATCTGAATCAGTCAAATATGAAAATGATGTATTTGAACTTTCCATTACGCAAAGTTCTAATGTATCCTGAAAGAAAAAAAGAAAAAGACAATTTTTTGACAGTTATATTACAGAAACTTTAAATAATTCGTACACAGATTTTTATAATGAATATAACTTAAACCTTGTCTCTGTGTATGCTTGTAGGAATATCAGTTTTAAATCTTTTTGATTTTCTATGTAATTGAAAACAATTTTCTTTTTCCTCTTCCATATCATTTTCTTGATTCTCCTTCTCAAAATACATTATTCTTGATGGATTTAATTGAACCTAATAATTATTATTAAAAAGAAAATTCAATATATTTAAACTAAAATATTAAAGTATATTAAAACTGATGTCCTACATCTTTTTTATTTTTCTCTCTTTTTCGTTTTAAGTATTTTTCTTGTATATCATCCGACTGAAATAAATTTATATTTTTATGTCTCAACGGTTGCCTTGAACTACTATCTTTCCTTAAAGTTTGTCTACTTTCAGTGTACTAAAAATAAAAATAAATTCAAGTTAGATCCTTATAAAAATATATTATTTCATGAGAATAATACCTTTACGATAGATTTTTGCAATAATTGTATCCAAGAGTTGCTGTCTCCATTTTCTGAATATAAAAACAGATTTTCTTCTAAACATGTTACACGAAAAAGTCCACCACTTAAGACACTTACTACTTTACACTTATTTAAGGGAAGTACACAACGTACAGTCAATGAACTTTCTGGTTTTCCTTTACAATATAATAAAGTATCATTTAAAAGTACAAAATATCTTCTATAAGCAGTAACGCCATTCCTTGAAACTCTCATTAAATTTCCTTGCTTAAGTATTTTTCTTCCAGGCTTTACTAAATTAACTCCATTTACGATACACTTTTGTAGATTCAATAATTTTTTGGTATCTTCATTAACAGCAACTAAATTATTAATATGTACAGCAGCTTTTTCAACTTCGACTAAGCATGCTGTGTCAAAAATGACAAATATAATAATAATATTAATATTAATAAAATTAATAAAGTTAATAAATATATATATAAAATAATCATATCATAACTATGGATGCAAATAATTGATTACCTTGTAAAAGATTATACTCTTTATGTTTGCTAGGAGTATGTTGTAGAACTTCTTTCAAAAGTAATTTATATCTTGGTACTCTTTGTATAGGAGTAATTAATAACGAAGACAATGTTCTTCCAACTTCTGGTCGTGTTTCTTGTTCGCTTATGAAACTTTTAAAAATAGGATCCTTCTGTTGAATAATCTATACAAAAGATAAGAATTTTTATTAAATAAATATTTACAGTTTAAAAATAAAAATAAACACATTTAAGCACCTGTATAAGTGTTGATAATTGTTCGTAATCATATGCATAAACAGAATACAACTTAAAGAATGGTGCAAGCTTATAAAATGCTCCAGCAATGCACTCAGTATCTTGTTTTATTTCTCTAATTAATTCTCCACTGATGTTATATAATGTTTTTACATTTTCAAATAATGTATTTAATAATACAGTATTTAAAAACTTTTTTTCAATGATCGGTTGTAGAAAAAACTGAAAAATATTATTATTAGGTTTTAATTTACAATATATTATTTATATATTATTTAGCGTCAGTTAAATACCTCCATTAATATTTCTAATTGTTGTAAATATGTTGCCTCTGTTGTTAAAATTTCTTCTATAGCTTGGAGTCGCAAACGCTTTTCTCTTTCAGCTTTATTTCTTAAATCATCTTCGTTAAGAGCATTTAAAACTGAAAATAATAAATTAAGTTATATCATTATAAGCTTAATAAATATTTATTATTATTATTATTATTACTAAATAACGATAATAATACCTTTCATACGTGATTTCATAGTCAGTACATTTTTATTAGTAATAATGTTTCTCAATTCAAAACTAAGGTTATTGTGTGGTGATCTTGGAGAATCCATTTCTTCAATAATTATCAATTTTTCCTTATTTAATATTTATAAATATACATCTACACACACATAAATAAAACAATTAATATATAATTGCATTAAAAAAATTGTTAAAACAAATATTATTCTAATTCCAATAGGAATATAAAAATCTAAATTCGTTTTATTTACAATTTTTCAACCACGCTTAAAGTAAGCAAGACGAAAATCATATGCTGCAGTTACAATTTGAAAATGCCAACAGAACTAAGTCAATAATGCAAACAATATATAAAAAAATTACTCTAGAAATAGTAAGTAGATAGTAAAACACATTTTCATTCGTAGATAAAGATTGTCACAAAAAATATTAATATATACAACACAGTGTAATTGATTTTTATACTTAAATCCATTTAAAGTACAGTCTTGAAACGTCCTATAAATTTATGATTGTGAGTAAAGAAAATTTTTAAATTAATATTTTAAGAAAATAATTTTTGTTTTTTTTCCAGATATCAGTAAGATATATTTCTGTTTTACAGACCGTCGATACAATAAATTTCTGTATTACAGATAGTTAACCATAGCAGAAGTAAATTTTTTTGTAAAAAATCGATAATAATAAAAAGAACTCAACGTGTAAAAGAATAAAAAAACAGAATGAATTACATGGAAATTTTAAGTCTATTATTCTGTACATAATTATTAAGACCCTTTGCACTCTTGTCTGATATTTGAAAAATCGCCTTGAGTTGCTAGTTCACCCTAGAGAAAAAGTTGTTGCGTGTATGGGATTAATAAACATCTTGAGACGGACCATGAATACTTATGAACCAGTGCGCATATTATGTATAAAAAAAAATAATGAATTGAGCTTATATGTTAATTGCTAAGAGAATTAAAAATTTATTATAAGTAGTATTAATGTATTATAAAAAAAAAATAACATACAAATGAAATATACTTATATCATTAAATATACACTACTTAATTATTACATTATTAAAAAAAAATTAATAAAATATCTACAAAAGTACTTCCCTATAATTGTCAAATTTTTATATTGAAAATTATTTTAATTAATTAAACAAAAAAATATGAACATAAGGAAGAATATAATTATTTGTATTTAAATAGATGGTAACAAAATTTAAAAAAATAGAAAATACGTAGCTAATAATATGTATCTTATCTGTGGGTCTTATAATCTCTAAAGAATTTGTAGTTATACATTTATATACATATGTATATCAATAAGGATAATTATTACATTCGTACCTCTCTAATCTTCTTTAATTTTTATTGCAGTAATAGAGAAGGAATGAATAAGTAGAACACTATAATGGTAATTCCTCTCATAATGTCCAGATAAAGTATTGAACATTCGTCGGAATGTTATAAACTTGATAAACGGCAAGCAATACTTTTGTAAATACACGATTATTCTTGTATATAAACATTCATATATAAATCTATTTACATAATGCATTTTACTCAGACCCAAACGCCATGTGGATTTTTGCTTGTGGGTACTGCTGTCTCTAACTGTCTAGGAGATCCTATCATTTTACGTGTACTTCCTGGTTTATGGGCACCTAAAAAAAATTAACAAGAAAAGAGTAAAATATAATAAATTGATTATGCATTATATTTGATAATAGCAATCTATCAATACAAACAGATAATATATACCTTCAAGTAAAGATTTCACTTGTTCATCTTGACAAGCAACGGTTAAACTTTGTAAATTCGCCTCTTTCATATCAGCAACTAATCTCTCAACTTGTAATTTTTTTTCTACAATAGCTGTTTCCAGACTAACTATTTCAAGTTTTAACGATTCCGCGCATTGCGAAGCTAACTCGGCAGATCGTTTAGCTTGCTCTACTTCATTCTGAAGACGTTCAACTTCGTTGATTATTTTTCGTTCAATTATTTGACGTTCATCTGTTTCACGATTAGTATTGTGTTGTTCTACAGCAAGTTCCTCCATGATAAATCTATCATATGAAACATATTATTGGAAAGAAAGTCAGAGATATATATTATATACGATATATTCGGTAATGTATAATAGTAAATTATCAATAAATTAAAAGCTTATATTTTTACCTAATCTTATTTTTACATTGAAGTAATTCCGTTTCGCAGTTAGCGAGCTTTGATCTGAGAAGCGTTATCTCCGACTTTAAAGTTTTTTCTTGCTGCCTTACAATTTCACTTTCTTCTTCCACGTGAGCTAATTCTTTAAGCTTTTTTTTTATGTAAATTTTAATAAATTTTCATAAATTCATCTCTAAATGTTCCAAGACATACAATGTTTATGTGTTTAAAATAAATACATATATACCTGATCTTCTATAATACGACCGTTAGCTTCAATGCGATTTAATTCTTGTGAAATAAAATCCATTTGATGCATTTGTTCTCTATTTTTAGTTTCCCAATATAATATTTCTGCATCAAACTGAAATAAATAAATAATACGAATATATTTAAATTTGTATAATTATGCATTTTTATTTTGACTTACTTTAGTGAGATCAGCTTGTTGTGCACTAATAGTATCTCTTTGTTTATTGACTAGTCTAATAAGATCGACATAACGTTGGGTATAAGCAACTGTCATCATATTTTGTGTTTGACCAGATAATTGAGCAATTCCTTGCGTTTGGCTTTTCGTTTCTTGAAATTCCTAAATACAAATGTACCACACATACACATTAACACTATAAAACAATTTTTTTTGATTATACTACCTGAATTAAATTTCTTTTCAATTTTACAGTGTTGCTAGATGATGGTTGTTCTTCTTTGTGAATATGTAGAATGTTACTGTTTGTGCTAGGAGCAAATTGTGATCTTGCTGGACTATTTAAATTTGGTGGTGGTGGATCTCTATATGGTGGTAATGTTCGTAATGGAGGAGAAACTGGTCCTGGGGGATCTCTATAAGGAGGAACTTCCCTTATTTTTTTCTGAGATAAATGCGTATTAACTAAAAATACACAAGCATTAAAATTGGCTATAATTAAGTCATAAATTCTAATAAAATAGTTAATGAATTTGTTAATACAATTAAAAAAACAAAAATATTAGCTTACTATCAGGATTAGCTCCTCGCGTAGGAGATGGTGGGATATTTTTTCGGATATTTAATTCTTTGTTTTTGAAATGGGGTGTAGGCTGAACAATAGCAACATTCTCCATTTGAACCTGTAATAAAATTAGAAATTATTAAATGTATGTAAACTAAAGAATTTATAAAAATAATTTCACATAAAAATGACATGTTGTTTTACATCAGCATTATTCTCAGTAAGATTCCCTTGAAATCCACCAAACGTTAATGACTTCCTTGTATCACGATTTCTATCTAGACCACCTTGCTGTAATTCATCGAAATCTGAATTTAAAATTGTTGGAGTAGTTTTAGAATCCTCTTGAACATTATTCGTTGCTCCAACTTCTGATGACATATTCGATGTTCCATTTATCCGTGTTCCATGTGTTATACGTGATGCTGATGATCCTGGATTCTTATTGTTATCAGTAGAGCGTCTCAAAATCAGCTGGACTTCAGAAGAATATTCTCCCCATTTTAATAAAATCTGTTTTTAGAGATATTACTTTAGCGATATTCTATATAACTACTTATTTTTATATAGATACTTTAAAAGATCTATTATACTGATAAAATATTTTATATCCTTTAACTTTCTTTAATATTTTATACCTTAAGAGGGTTTTCATATGGAGCTAAAAGTCGTTCATTAGTTCTCCAACGTTCTACTAAGGTAAATCTACCAGTCTGTGCTGTTGCGTGTGCAAGAGCGTACACAACATCCTAGAAGCAGATAATTATCAAGACGCTTTAAATATTTTTTTATTATATGATTATAGAAAATATATATCAATATCTAATATTCTACAACATACATACATTGTGTTTCACAACAAACCTGACAAGTTGTATTTTCTGTAACTCCACACACAATACGTTGTATTCCTTCCACCCATACTTTCAGTTCCATTACGTTAGCAGTATATATATCCAAGTATATTTTGCATTTCTAAATTATATCTAACTATAAATCCAAACTAGTACATCCTTTTTTACTTTTATCTTTAAAACTGTTTATTTGTTTATTCTGAAAACACATTCTATAAATTTAAAAGAGTATTTACACACTCTTACCTTTTAATAATAATAATAATAACGCTTGAAAAAAAAGATTTATCAATTCATTACTATGAATTATAATAGAATCTAAAATAATAACTTAGTTGAATATTTTTGTTTATAAAACCAGATCTCTCTACCACGATACAAATGGCTATAGAACGACTTTTTCAAGTAAAAAAGAAAGAGCGCCTCACAATACAAAAAACTTTTACTGAAGCCATGTGCACGAACTACGTAGTAATTTTCTGTTGCACAGATGCACTAACTGATGGCATAGAAAAGGATGCACTAATACGCATCCACTAAAGTACAAATTAATTATCAAAGAACAACTGTAAAAATGCATGAAATAAAAATGACATTAATTATTATTATTTATATTAAAACAATTTAAATAATTTATCATATAAAATTTATTATTTATATCTGTATGAAATGCTTTGTTTTTAAATTTTAGCGCGAAATGATACTATTGGTTATGATATATAATTTCGGAGTATGTAAAGCTTTTATAAGTGACAAAAGGAGGAAGATCGTAGCTTAAATTTCATAACTGTTTGTTAATAAAATCCAAAGAAAATGAGTCTGTGGGTAGATAAATATCGACCAACAACATTTTCTAAATTAGATTATCATAAAGAACAAGCAGAATATCTTAAAAATATGGTAACTATAAAGAAATTGCAATATACCGACAAGCAAATACAATTGGATTTTGTTTTTGACTGTATAATGTTCCCGCCTAATTTATTTTTGATAATATTTAGTTTATAAAAATAATCAAAATGTAATAACATATAAATATACCTTTAGTAAATTCGTATACTTGTAATCTGTTAATTGTTTATAATGTATATATAAATATAAATAACATTTTATTTATAATAACAGGTGCATAAAGGAGATTTTCCACATTTGTTAATATATGGACCTCCTGGAGCTGGAAAGAAAACTAGAATAATGTGTATTTTGAAAGAATTATATGGTTCTGGAGTTGAAAGATTACGGATGGAAAATATGAATTTTGAGGTTTACTTTTTATTCAGCGAGTAACTGTATTAGTAATTAATCTATTAATTGCTTAATAATATGTAGATTACATTTCTTCATGACATTGTTACAGACTCCTTCTAAAAAAAAATTGGAAATAATGACTATAAGCAGTAATTATCACATAGAAGTAAATCCCAGTGATGTAAATATATACGATAAAGTTGTTGTAATGGATTTAGTTAAAATGACAGCACAAACTCATCAGATTGATTCAACTGGACAAAAAGAATTTAAAGGTATAAAATGTTAAAACAAATATTTAGCAAATGCTAAGTGGAATATTCTGATAAATTATTTTATTTTTCAAATAGTGGTTTTGTTGACAAACGTGGATCAACTTACAAAGGATGCTCAACATGCACTTCGTAGAACCATGGAAAAGTATATTGCTACGTGCAGATTAATTCTTTGCGCAAATTCTATATCTCGTGTATCACCAGCTATCAGATCTCGGTGTCTAGGAATACGTGTTTCTGCACCAACAATACCAGAAATTAAATCTATTTTACAATCGGTATGTAAACGAGAAAGTATAACTTTACCGGATGAATTTGCTACCAGACTTGCAAATGCTAGTGGAAGAAATCTTAGAAGAGCAATATTGATGCTCGAAGCTTGTAAAGTTGAACAGTAAGTAAAAATTAAATACTTTTATAATTAGTCTAATAATTCAATTTTTTTCTCTTTCAATAACAATTTTAATATTACGTTCAGGTATCCATTTACTGTAAATCAAAAGATTTCTGAACCTGATTGGCAAACATTTATTCGTACTACAGCTAATATGATGATAGCAGAACAAACTCCAAGAAAACTACTAGACATTAGGAAAAGACTTTACGAATTATTAACGCATTTAATACCTTGCGATGTCATTCTTAAAGGATTATTACAGGAGTGCATAAAAAATTGTGATTTTCAATTAAAAAGTGAAATAATATTTATAGCTGCAGAATATGAACATAGGATGCTAAACGGGTCAAAACCTATTTTCCATTTGGAGGCTTTTATTGCTAGGTTCATGGCTGTATATAAAAAATTTATGGATTCTTCTCTTGAAGATTTTATATGATTTAAAATTATTTAATCAAAGCTATTGATATAAAAGGTCGAAACAATGGTCTATTTCGACCATGAAAGATATGTAATCATAAATGTTTTATTATTTACAAAAGATCCGAATTATATGAAGTATTGTAATTTTACATTGAGGAAAGTACAATTTTGGCATTGGTCTTAAAATAAGCGCGTTTTCTAAATTTCTTCTACAATAATTTTCCTAAATAAATGAACACATTACAAAGTATTAGAAACACATATTAACGAGTAAGAAACAATAACACAGAAGAATTTTGAAATAAAGTATCTCTACAATAACTTATTTTATTTCATACAATACTAAAATTATAGGATGAGATATGATGCACATCCAAATAACAAAGAATTTCTAAAAATAAATAAATTCTCAATTACTGCACTTAGTTTTAGTACTTTATAAGGCTGCTAAAACAATGGCAGAAATAGCTGCTAAAGCAGTTACAGCATAGCCTGTTGTATATACTTGTTTAATTGTTAGAAACATTCCTAAATCCCAAGCCTGTAATTATAGAACATAGATAAAATTTATTCTAAAAATAATTTTTTGTTTTATTGCTTTCTATATCGCAATTATCGTACGTTTTAACTTCTTACCAAATGTCGAAATCCATTGAATGTGTGAAACGTAGCAGGAAAAGCAAGTAATGTTTTACCTACAAAAAGTAAAGCTACGGGTAAATTTAATTCACTTAAGATTTCTATAACACAAGGTATTCCACCTGGCACGAATAGAGTACCTAAAATATAGAAAAAATAAAAGATATTTTTATAGTAACATTAAAAAAATAAATATCATTCAAATATTGATTTTTTTTTACCACTATATATAATTGTAAGTTGGATATAAAATTATATATTTACCAAGTCCTAAAAACATAGCATAACTTGACAATATTATACCAGTTGTACGATGAGATACAGAAAGCACTGTTGTTAATTGCACTTGATATATAGACAAATGTGGTGACATGGGTCGTTTAAGACGCATATTCCTTTCATCATGTGTTTCACAGATATTACTGCTAGCACATACTGGTTGTGATAAGGATGTGGTTAGTGAACTGTAACATATTGAATTTTAATTTGATCTATAATATATTTATTTATAATTTTCTTTAATATAAAAGTATGGTATTTTAATGTATATTAATTTTAATACAAGTTATTATTTTCATAAATATGCAAATAAGCAGAGATAAATATGCATTGAAGTTTGGATAAATCAAAAAAATGAATGAAAATTGACAGTCAGATGATCAAATAACATAACATTACATAATTACGTAATACATTAATACTTACTTGCTCGTAAATAAGCCTCGAAAATGTTGAAAACCAATACCTCGTCGACAAATAAGTCTAAAAACATATTTCAATTAATAATAAAGGTTTGATTAATGAAATGAAATGAATTAATATTTAATACCTAGTATAACATAACGCCATCGTTGTTCAAATTTATATTCTTGTGTCACAAAGGTGTGCTAGATATTATAGAATAAGATTTAGGTATATATTACTTTTTATTTTGTCGCGCGTAAAATATTTCATCAATTCGTATCGAAAAAGTACATGCAGGTAAGACAAGAATCACCTCTTCTTTAAATATTTGCTAGATAAAGTACGAAAATGTACCATAAGCAGAATTGCCAAATGTTTAGTAAAAAATATTCTTTACAATAACATACAGAACATTGAGAAGAGGCTTATTTGAATTTCTTATAATTTTTACATTGTTATCATAAATTTTAATTATTATATTAAACTTATTTTATATATATATATACAATCATTTTTCTTAAATTAATATATATATGATATAACGATGAATTTCTGTAACTAAAGTGAAGTCAATTGAAGAACCACATAATCTTAAAAATAAATAAAAAATAGATTCAAAATATAATTATATAAAATAGAAAGAAATATTAAAATATTATTAATAAATAATTGCGTACATATAAAATAAGGGAAATGAAAACATACAGTATTGGTAGATGGCATAGGTAAACTAAGAAAATATAAGCGATTCGATTCTTGTATCATTTATATATTCTATATGTACTACCAACTTGACATATTCGTTAGTTTTTGCCTTATGGTCGTCAATGTTGAGAGTTGTGAAAAGAATCACATTCATTAAACAGTATTGAACTCAGTCGAAAATTTATGCATTTACTGCTATCTAGTTTAAGGTAAGAGATTATTATTATGTCAATTGTTTTTGAATTTTTGATAATTTCGAATAAATCGTAGGAGAATTGTTACTTCGTAAAAAGGGAGAGAAGCATTGTTAATTTATGACGTGCTATTCTTTCAATCATTTTTTTCGAATCCATTTTCTCGTAGCATTTCTCAAATAAATATCCTTTGTACTTTGATATTCATAAGAACAAATATTATTGTACGGAATATTTGTGATAGTCTAATAACGTTAGAATTAATATTATAAAGCAGTAGACGCATCCTTAAAGGACAATTTAATATTTGTGCGTTCATTTTGAAAATAATCTTGTGAAGAAAAAGGAAGATAGAAAGAAAAGAAAATAATTTTAACGTATACATATACTAAGTGTAATTTTGAGTAAATATCGATATTTATATTTGATTGTTAAAAATTCTACGTATATTTAATGTTAATGGATTTAAATATTCTTATGCATATGTTTTTGATAATTACAAAAAAATATTATTTGTGTAATTTTAAGATATTATATATTTTTAAATGCATATTGTCTATTATTATTTTTTCTAATTGATTTAAATCCTATCCTTTATTTTTTTATTTAATTCAACCTAACTTTTATTATATATCCATGTGAGATGATTATATGATTATATTTAAAGTTGAAATAATTTTTTCATAATATTAGACAATATATGAAAAAGTTCTTAAAGTTATTACATAGGTTTGTAATAATAATTCCAACAGATGATTGTTTGATTGAAATCAAATATTTAAATATAATGGAGGGCCCACTGGAAGTAAAGGATTCTACTTCTACTACTGCAGAACCAATCAAGTCAGAAGGAATTGTACAAAACTCGGATAACAATGAACGAAGCGAAGAAGCAGCTTCTCCGCCTCCTAATTGCAGTATCTGTCTTGGAAAACTAATCAACACATCATTTACAGACAGTTGTTTACATCAGTTTTGTTTTAATTGTTTATTACAATGGTCTAAAATAAAAACAGAATGTCCATTATGCAAACAAACCTTTAAATCAATTATTCATAATGTAAGATCAGAAGAAGATTATGATCAATATCATGTACCACGCGAATTTGCAACTCAAATTCCACAACCTCCAGTCATGACAATTCAGCATTTGGATGATGATTTTGAAGATGCAAATTGGGTTATCAACCAACGTCGTTGCATCTATGGGTATAATATGATTTATTTTTGTTCGTGCTTTATCTATATTTTTGTCTTCTCTTTTAGTTTTATTGGTATTGTGAATACATATACTGTTATTCTATAAGTTTGTTTAGTAACATATATATATATATATATATTTAATATATTTTTATAAAACAAAATATTTTTTATAACTTTGGTTTAATCTAACCTTATAGAACAACAATGGCTGATAATCGTCGTCGTGTTATCCAAAATGCTGAACAGGCTACAAGAGAACATTTACTCGCTTTGCTATCAGATGATCCAAGAGAAGAACACAGGACCAGACGCATAAACCCTACTTTACGTCGTGCTATATACACACATGGAATATGGGCTACTTCATTACCTGGACGTTTTCAAGAATGTAGTGCTGATTATTACCGGTATATTTCAATATGATCTTTATCATTAGTCGTAATGACACACACACACACACACAACTAGTTCAATAAATAATTATATTTTATAGGAGATTTCCAAGAGAATTGGATCGTCTTATTCCATGGTTAAACAGAGAATTACAAATACTTATTAATAATAGACCAGGACATATTCCATATGTTTTAAGAATTATTATGAATGCATTAACACTTCATGATATTAGAAGTCTTCAGTTTCAAAATATTGTGCGGCCATTTTTTGGTGTACATACTGAACATTTCATACACGAATTATTTAATTTTGCAGGAACTAATTATGATATAGGTGCATATGACCAAGCTGTTACTTATTTATATCAAGGTTTATATATATTTATATTTAATTGTTTGAATAATTTATTGAAAGCGAAAATATGTATATATTTTGTGCCAGGTTTATCAAGAGAATACGTTCCACATGTTGTTTCACCTGTATCTAGTAGCAGTAGTAGTTCTTCCGATGATTCAGATATTCATGTACTTGATGAAGCAATTGATTTACGTGTGAATACTGAAATGCCTGGTGTAATACCACTTCCAGTTAATATGCCTGGTAATAATAAACACATAATTATTTTCGAAATATTACTACAAAAAACCATAGCACTAGCAAACACACATTAATATAATATTTAATTATTTCAGGACCTAGTACTGTTGCACAAGCTTTTCCTATGGAAATACCATATAATGTACCAGATGTTTTAACAATATCATCTGGATCTTCGGATGATGAATGTGAAGTTATTTGTTATGTCAAGCCTCGTCATGAAAGAACACCTGAAATTATAGAATTAGACTCTTCTGATCCTGAGGACACAAATACAGCTTATGTATCTAACGATAATGCAGAGTAAGTTTCTTTTACATAAACTTCTATACATCATTATTTAATCTATAAAATTAGTAAATTTTGGTTCAACTATATAATGTGTTTGTTTGAACTTTATTATTTTATTTTTGTAATTAAATTACTATTATTCATTTAACACAGGTCTGTGCGAACTTCTCTTAAGGAGGATGTTCCTCAAGCTAGTACATCATTTAATTCTAAGAAAGGATTACCTATTAAGGTGAATAGTGAAATCTTTAGGACAAGTATTTCAGAAAGCTCTTCTTCTTCAAGCGATAATTCGTCAGATAGTGATTACAATCCTAGAAGAAGCAGAAAATGTCGAGGTCATGCAAAGAAATCGCCGAAGAAAAAGATTAATAATAAAAAGCGTAAACATAATAATGCCAAAAACCGTAAAAGAGCGGACAGAAGTGTATCAAGTGTATCATCAGGTGAAAGTGATTTCAGAAATAAAAGTAGTAGAAGATGCAGTCAACATGGAAAAATAAAACAAAGTAGTTCTAGCGAATCCAGTTTGGAAGAAGATAGAAAGAAGAAATTGAATGAAACAAAATCAAGAAAAGAAACCAGTTCAATTAAAGCTACGGTAAAAGTGCGTAGGGATTTAATCAAAAAAGAAGTAAAATACGAGGAAAATAATATCGTTAATAACAATAGTAGTAGTAGTAGTAGTAGCAGTACTAGTAGCAGTAGCAGTAGCTGTTGCAGCAGTACCGGTACTACTAGTACTAGCAGTAGTAGTAGTACTAGCAGCAGTGAGACATCCAATGAAAGTCAAGAAGCTCGAAAATATGAACTTCTTAAACAAAAGTCAAGAACTAAAGATGCTAATTGTCCTATATGGGTTTTAAAATATGATGCTGATAAAACTGAAAAAGAAAACAAAAATAAAGATAAATCACGATTAACGATTAATACAATAACATCATTAGATGATTCTAGTCGAAAGAACTACAAATACAAAGAAAATAAACGATCTAGAACCAGGAGTACCAGCGAATCTCCTCATATGCGGAAAAAAAGCAAACGATCTACCCGTAAAAAATGGCAAGTTCATAAATGTAAGAATGAATACGAAAGTGAAGATACAGATAAATTATTAGACGCAATATTCTTAAAAAGAGAAAGTAGTACACGTTCCAATAGTCAAATTAGCAATTATTCAGATAGTCCATACAACAAATATAAAAGAAGATCTAAACATTCATGTAAAGATAAAAAGACAAGACGTTCTCGTAGTAAGTCTCGTAGCAGATCTCGTAATAGGTCTCATAGCAAATCTCGTAGCAAATCTCGTAGCAAATCTCGTAGCAAATCTCGTAGCAGATCTCGTAGCAGATCTAGCAGATCTTCTAGCAGGCCTCGTAGCAAATCTCGTAGCAGGTCTCGTAGCAGGTCTCATAGCAGATCTCATAGCAGATCTCGTAGCAGAACTCGTAGCAGATCTCGTAGCAGATCTCGTAGCAGTTTTCGTAGCAGATCTTCCGCCTCTAATTCGAGTTTAACAAATTCAATAATATCATTTAAAAGTGAAACATGTTCAATATCGAAACATTCCGATTCTAAAAATAGTTTATGCAACAAAAAGAAACGTAGATCACACAAAAGTCATAAAAAATCAAAATATCGAAGATCTCGATCAAAAACAAGATCTAAAAGAGAATCGTCAAATCGTATTGTGAGGTGCTCATATAGCTCTAACACGGACTAATTTTTTCCATAAAACTTATTAATATCTTTCCGAGTATAAATAAGGTTTTTTTATCACACTATTATAATGTACATCACGAAATATGTTTTATTATTTAAATTTTATCTTGCTATGACAATTGTTTATATTGCTACAGTTTTGAAATATGTTAATTAATTAAATGAGAAAATGTTGAAAATAACAAAAAATTATTTTTTATTATTCATCGGAAAACATTTTCCGTTCACTCCTGTACTTGTTGGCTAATTAGTTCCTTGTCAAGAAACATTTTTATAAATTTGTCTAAATTTTCTTATAAATGTATAAAGTTTTACTCTTCTGGTTATCCGAAAAGTTCGTGACGATTTAAAAAAATATATAAAATAAACATTCTTATATTTCGATATTAATATATCGAGTATATATTTATAAATTAATACGAACTTCCCGATTTATTAATGAAGTAATCCCTCGAATTGCTGATAGACGCATTTCTTTTATACATTATTAATCACTATTATTATATTAATGTAATAATCTTATACGATTTATAACTATGATTTAAAGATATTTATGAATATTATGTAAAATAAAAAACATGTCATTTATATATAAGGATATTTATAAAAATTAACAAAAGCAAAATGTACTGATATATTAGTCGATTATAAGTATATGTTAGAACTTATGTAATAAAGTATAATTATAGAATTATACAATAGTAAACGAAAAATTCAAATATTATTGTTCTATACTATCAATAGAAAATTTTAAACGAAATATATATCGCAATATGATTCACAATGAAATAATATAGCATTTATAATAAATACTATTTGCAAATTTCTTTAATGATTATTTTTTAATACAGTTATTAAGAGAAAAAAATATATTAATAAATATAATAATGCACAAGTTGCATAAATGTAAATGCATGAATACAAAATTATAAATAGAATAATACAAAAATACACATAATATTATTGACAATGTTACAATGAAAATAACCTTTGGAAATTCCATTCTTTATTCAAACAAAGTTATTCCTTATTTACAATTCTTAAATAATAATATTATTAAGTTAATTAACACAAGAAGAACGTGTTTTCATACTAAAATATGATACTAACTAAAATAATGTATATAAGTTTTGCATATCTCTTTTACAAAAGTTAATGAGGGAAAAAGAAGAAAATATAAAAAAATTGAGGCAAATGAACATAATAAGTTTGAATAATATTTATCAATTTTTATGCGAAAAAAAAAGAAATAAAATTGATAAAATACATATATAAATTAAATATATTCATAAAACAGGTCAGAATAGAAAATTATTTGATTTAATCATTTTTGATATTTAATTATTTCATTAAAAAATCAATGATTAAAGTTGTCCTTATGCTATATGATTAAATTCTATATGTACAATATTTTCTAAAATTACTTTCATATTTATAATCTTATATTAAAAATAAGTTATCATGTGTGTGTATTGCTTTATACGAAAAAATCTAAATACTGTTCTCCTACAACGTGATTCCCAAAGAAATAAGCATATATACAATTTCATCTTGTATGCGAATAATGTAATGAATACATATGTAAATGATAAAGACACAACTATATGAATTTTGCGAGTGATAATTTTTATATTAGATTTAATTTTATTATTTATGATTATAAGAATAATGAAAACAAAAATAGAAAAAAAAACAAAATGTTTTATAATTAGAGTAGATAATAACTATGAACTCACGCTGCTGTCATGTATTATGTATATATATAATGCAATTTCTTTGTAACAAAAAGATTATCTTTTTCTTTATAAATTAAATAAAGTATGAAAACCAATAAGATAATAGTAACAATTAATAATATACAAGATTAGAGCACAAATGGTATATCTATACCATAATAATTAATTGTAACAATGATATACTTTAAATTTCAAAGTATTATTTAAATATAAAAACTCGCTTATAGAAAAATATTTATATTTATTTACAAATATTACAATGTTTCTCCTAAACAAAAACAATTATGAACATTTTTTTATTTTTCTCTTCGGATTTTCCATACAATTCTAATAATTTTTATAATTCGGTGAAAGAAAATAATATACATAAATTTTTTTTTTATTTATGTAAAATGAATTCCTTCAGCATTGAATGCATGTAAGAGACTAGAAACAAAAGATGTTATATCGTATATGACAGAACTTCAGATATATGATCATTTCTACATACCTAATAAAATCATCAATATCCATAGTCCTAGCCCGCTTATTTTCTGCCTCAGCAGTTAGCAATATTGCACTTACTTTTTCTTTTATATCGAAATCTTCAGGAACAGTCTATATTTTAACATAATAAAATTAATAAAGAGAAATTTGAAATAATAATCTTACAGAATAAAAGCGATGAGTACCTTATTGTTTAAACTACAATGAATTTTATAATTTTTTTCCAACATTGTTGTTACAGAAGTTTGTTTAAATGCCGCCGAAAGTGTTTTATTTTTCCTAACAAATGCAATCCTTGTTAATCCATCCCATTCCTGATAATTAATCGGTGGTGGCGGATTTCGAGGTTCTATTCTAACTACATTAGACTCAACTTTTGGTGGTGGTACAAAATTATTTTTTCCAACTTTCATTAACATATCTATGCGTGCTAAAAGTTGTGTGTTAATGCTGAGACGACAATATAATTTATCACCTGGTTTTGCAACCAAACGTTCTGCAAATTCTCTTTGAAACATAAGTACTGCGCACCTAAAAAAATAATTTATATTATAATAAAATATAACAAAATATGTGCTATATAATGAATTACCATAATAGCATTTAAATCAATAAATATTTGTATCTATAATTTAGTTTCATATATATATATAAATATACGTGGTTACCTAAAAATAGGTCGATGCAAAAGTAATTTGAAAACTAATGGAGATGAAATTTGATAGGGAATATTAGCAATGCACAAATCAAAAAATGGCAAATTTGTTTTCAAGACGTTTCCCACGATTATTTGTAATTTTGATTGATAAGGTGATCCTTGAATACGTTTTTGCAATTCTGCAACCATTCTTGGATCCAATTCACATGCTATTACTTTTTTTGCTTTATCTAACATTTTAACAGTCATATTTCCAGTACCAGGACCAATTTCTAACACAACATCCGTTGGCCTAATCGCAGCTTTTTCAACCATATTATGTATAACAAGCGGATTTTTTAAAATATGTTGACCAAAATCTTTATTAAACTGAATGCCTATAAAAAAAAAAGGAAAAAAAAGAAAATTTAATCTCATTAAACATAACAAAGTATTGAAACAAATAATTAATAACTTAGAAATTTCTCTACCTTGTCTTGCAACTTCCTTGTGCACACGAGATACCCTTTCAGTTCGTATTTTCGGCATTTTTATAATAAATATAATAAAATTACTTTTTTTCTTATGAAAAAATGAACTTTATAAAAAAATTAAAAACAAATTTTTTGTCAACAACACTCATATATTTTTATCTTCAAATTTGTTACTCTTTGAGGTTTATAAACACGTGCACTACTCTATTGTATAGAATACAGGAATACATAGAAACTCACAAGTCCATTTTTCGGGTAACCAAAATTATCTTAGTTAGTACCCTTGACCACCAGAAGGCGAGAGTAGGTTTTTAACGCGATGACGATATAATTAATACTATCAAAGAATACTGTATATGATAGTATATGACAGTACATGATAAATTCTTTGATAGCATATATATAGTATAGTTATACTATAATAGAATTTTAGATAATTATATTGAATTTTTAATGTAAAAAAATGTGTGTGCCTTCAGAAATGCATTTATATATATATTTTAAAATGAAGCAATTTAAAACATTCAATACTGTAATATTTACCGAACACACATTTTTACATTAAAAATTCCTGTATTCTATGCAATAGAGTAGTGTACGTGTTTTCGAATTAATGCATTTGGTTGCATTGTGCGTGTGGTTTCGAATTAATTTCTCTATGAATGTCTCACATCTATCCACCAAACTATCAAAGAAGTTTTTTTTTATTAACGTATCTCTAGAGTAAATAGTACGCAGTTTTTTTTCTGATTGGTTAACCATTTTACTAATAATACTTGCTTGACTTTAATGATTTAGATTTTTATAAACTAATATATATAAACAAGTAATTCAACAGCATTGTTGTTGATTAATCACATTATTTATTATATATTACATAACATTTTTAATGAATTTATATTATATATTCTTATAAAAAACATTATAATTACTATTAAGTATCCACGTATTGGAAAATATCTTTTAATTGCACTTGGTCAAGAGATATACGGAGTAATTTTTCTTGAATAGATTTATCATAAACTGAAGGATGTACATTCTTCTCTTCTTTACAGTTACTAATATAAATTCCACCATGTTCTTCAATTTTATCATTAGTGGCTGCATAAACTATTGACATAGCTCCTTGTTCAGGAGTCTGAAATTATTCGAATTTATTTATCACACAATAAATAATTAAAATAATATTAAAATGTTATAACATTGTGAAATAATTTAGTCTGACTTACCTTTATTATATATTTAAGAAGCCATTGAATTCTCTTTAGATAGGAATATTCAAATAAATTTGTATTAACAATTCCTGGATGTACTGCATATACTTGAATTCCTAATTGTTTCTTTTCCAAAAGATTTTGTAAATGTTTAGTAGATATTAATTGAGCCAATTTAGTTTGCGCATACATTAAATATGTGTTAAAATTTTTCCTAAATTATTCAATTGTGTTATTAACTAAATAATCTTTATCGTTAATTGTTAGTTTATTAAATTGTAATGTGTCATACTTAAAATTAATGTCATTGAAATTCATCCATCCAATACGATGAGCACAAGAAGAAACATTGACAATTCTACTATTTTGTTTTGGACGACTACCAGCTTTCAATAAAGGTAATAACAATACTGTTAAATAAAAATGTGACAAATAATTTGTACTCCACTGCTGATCGAAACCATCCTTTGTTTCTTTTTGGGGAGCGAACATTATACCGGCTACAACAAAAATTTGTACATTGATTCTATAAAATTATTGATTACATGCAAACGTTAACTAAAATTCATATCTAATTATTTTTACCATTATTTATTAAAATGTGTATTTTATTATAATCATTTTTAATTTGGTCAGCAAATTCTTTTACGGATGCTAAAGAGGTATTGTCAAGTTTGTAAACTTTTGCTTTTCCCGTAGTAATACCAGATTCTCTTATTTTAGAAATTAATTTCTCTCCAACAGAAGGCGTTCGACAAGCTGTAATATTAATACATAGAATAGTATATATAATAGTAATAGCTTCAAAACTGTAAAAAAAGACATTATTATAATATTTACCGATTATTATTTCTATTTCGCATTGCAGCAACATTTTTACAACTTCTGACCCAATTCCTCTCGAGCCACCTGTTATAATAGCAATTTTTCCAGGCATTGGTAATAAAGCTAAACATATTTTACAAAAACAATATTAATCAAAATAGTACTGCCATTAAGATACATACATCTAATTAAAATTATCAATAAAATTTATATTTGTATTTTCATAATGATTCGTATGTCAATATATTAAAAAATAACGTCAATAGATTTAGAATTGTATAATACGATTTATTATATAATATGATTATTTTTTATTTCTTTTTACATATTTGTTTTTACTTAAAATTAATTCAAATCTAAATTTTTAAAATAGCAGATATGTGTAACATTATATATTCGTATAATTTAAAAAGTTCAGATTTTAACTGCCATTTTTTACTTTGAAAATTAAACAAAAATTAATAACAGAATTAATAAGAAAAATAATAAAATTAGATCGTACCTGTTTTATTACTTCTGGCATTAATTATGGCATAGAATATATCTTTCATAGCTATCAACGTGTATATTAAGTTATAATAAAATATTATTAAATAATAATTATCTATTCGAGGTTTATAATAATATAAATAACTAAAAATTAACGCGCATAGTGAAATTAATAGAAATAACATGCTTTTATATTGTATATATTTATTTTTATGTGGTATATAAGAACTTTTTTTATCCAATACTTTATGAATAAGCTAAGTAAAAGACGGAATGTTACTGTGCTTCTCGTATTACCGTTAAACGTTTTATAGCAGTTTTAATTTACATGGAAGTAGGTGTTTGTGTATTAGGTTAGTAGAAAATGAAAACGTCATTTTATTTTTTTTATATATATACACACAACATACACTTTCACAAATATATACACATATATAATTTTTAAAGAAGAAAAATTATTTATTTTAAAATATTA